ATCTAACTGCTGATGCTCCACTAACAGCAATCTAATTTTCTGGACCCGATTGTGTACTTTGAGTTTAAAATACAAGATTGTACTAATTGTCTCATGAGTCCTATATCAATGTTACCGCAACATGTCGTGACATTTTATTTGGGAATGTTTGAGGCAATAGCATACGTGTTCTAAATAATAAAGCTATTGTTCACATGTCTTTGACACTAGCCTGTCGATTATAATAGTATATACCCAGGCAAAACTATTAAATTGTGTAGGTGTCTCTCATGCTATTTTTTTGTGAAAATGGAAGGTGAGGCGTAATTTCTACGCTCATTTATATCTAATTAATTCCGATTTTGTAGAGATTCGTATGTCTGTACTGCCAAGCCATTTCACTAGTGTATCCAAATTCCATTGATGCCCATACCTTTTCTTTACTATTAGTAAATGCATGGCGTATAATAAGCATACATCCAAAATCAAAGTCAGGCCATTAATTTCGATATGAGCCGCAATAGCCCCAGAAAAATAAATGTATTAACGGTTACTGGTTAGAACACAATTTTATTCTCCGCAAAGAAATATAAGGCTTCTTTTATCCTGTTCCCGCACTCGAAACTTCTTCATTTGCTCTCTCTATCTGTCAGCAACTTCATTAATCCTGAAGGTCTGCCTTTCTTTATATCGACACACCCACACGTATATTATGTGTGGAAATTTCGACTTCTCAGTTGCAAGTATAGATTTGATGACAGTGAGATTTTATACAGAAAATATATGTCTTTCTTTCAGACTGGGTGTAACTTGTTTTTTACCGCACTGATTTGATTAAACTTTTTCTGCCTTACAGGACGGTCGCAAAATTAGTGTTGGTGACTGTGCTCTTTTCAAACCGCCCAAGGATTATCCACCTCTCATTGGTTTAATTCGTTGGTTGGGGTTTAACAAAGATAATAACTTGCAGCTGGGTGTGAATTGGCTTTATCGATCATCTGAACTAACGCTTGAAAAGGGCACTTTAGTGGACGGTGCCCCAAACGAGATTTTCTATTCATTTCACAAGGACGAAATTCCTGCTGCATCTCTACTCCATCCATGTAAAGTTGCATTTCTTCCTAGAGGTGTAGAACTTCCCAAAGGGACATCCGCTTTTGTTTGTCGGCGTGCCTATGACATTACAAACAAGTGTTTATGGTGGCTAACAGATCAAGATTACATTAATGTTAGTCATAATAGTCAGTGGATTTTTTCCTTTTTAATGTTCTCCCCAATTGCATGTGGAGGTTTTTTGTTTATATGTTTTTGTTGGGTTGGTGGTCTGTGTGGGTAAGCGGTAAACCTACATGATTACCTTTTATTTGTTTACCTTTTTCAACTCATATACCCTTCATGGTTTCTCAGGAGCAGCAAGAAGAAGTAGATCGACTTTTACACAACACTAAGATAGAGATGCATGTGAGTTTGCAGCCTGTTGTTCGTTCTCCAAAGCAAGCTAATGTTCCGACTTCAACCTCACAGTTGAAACCGACTTCTGATAGTGGTCAAAATAGTGGGAGTTCTTTTCCTTCTCAACCCAAGGGAAAGAAGAGGGAGAGAGGTGATCATGGTTCGGACCCTTCAAAACGAGAACGCTCTTCAAGGACTAATGGTGGTGATTTGGTTCAATGCAAAACCAAAAGTAATTTAAAATATGAGATTGCACGAATAACAGAAAAAAGTGGAGTTTTGGATTTGGAAGGGGTTGAAAAACTTGTCCAGTTGATGCAAACAGATAGAACAGAGAGAGAAATGGATTTGGTAAGCCGCTCCATGCTTGCCAATGTAATGGCTTCCATTGAAAAGGTTGATTGCCTCAATTTGTTTGTGCAGCTCAGAGGTTTGCCTGTGTTGGATGAGTGGCTGCAGGATATTCATAAAGGGAAGATTGGTAATGATTCTAATGTCAAGGATGGTGATAAATCTGTGGAGGAATTCCTTTTGGTTTTACTTCGTGCACTCGATAAACTTCCAGTTAATCTTCATGCCCTTCAGATGTGCAACATTGGCAGATCTGTGAATCACTTACGATCACATAAAAATATAGAAATTCAGAGAAAGGCACGGAGTTTAGTTGACACTTGGAAGAAACGTGTTGAAGCCGAAATGATTAGTATTGATGCGAAGTCAACCTCAACCCACACTGTATCTGTGTGGCCTTCCAAGTCACGTCTTCCAGAGGCTTCTCATGGTTTGAGCGGAACTCCAAGTGAGTCTGATGCTGCCATTAAAAGCTCAATTACTCAGAATTCTGCATCCAAAACTACTTCAGTTAAGTCTTCACATGGGGAAAGTAGCATAAAGTATGCAACCTCATCTCCTAGACCTGTCCAACCAGCTTCACAACTTGCATCTGGAAAGGAGAGCCAGAGTAGAATTTCTGTGGGAGGCACTGCTGGTGCCCCTCAAATTAGGGAGGACAGGAGTAGCAGCTCTAATCATTCCAATAGTTATGGTCAGTCTTCTCCAGCGAAGGAAGACCTGAAGAATTCCACAGCAGGTTCATTGACTGCTAATAACATGTCCAGCAGTAGTACCCGTAATCGGAAATTTAGTGGTTTTCCTGGAACATCACCGACTGGAAGTCAGATAGAAACAAGCTCTAGCAGAATTCCTTCAGCACAAAAAAGTACTGCTTTTGAGAAGAAGTCTCACTCTGCATTAACGAGTGAAAGGGTTGTCGAAGGACCCAGTGAAGGAAGCAGTCATAAGTTAATTGTTAAGATACCAAATCGGGCGAGGAGTCCTGCCCAAGGTGGCAGTGGAGGATATTTTGAAGAACCTACCTTTACCAGCAGCCGAGCTTCTTCTCCTGCTGTTGTGAACAAACATGAACAGTCTGATAATGTTTCAAAAGACAGGAGTTGTGCATATCGATTCAATGTTGGGGCAGACATGAATGCATGCCGAAACAGTGATTCAAAAGAGGTATTTGTTAAGTCAGAGGATGCTGTGTCACCTGCAGTTCTTCCTGATGAAGAGCAAAGCATAATCAATGAAGGCTCCAAGAGATTAATTGAAGCCCCTCCTAGGAATCAATTGGAGTCGTTCAAATTGAAAGCCTCATCTTTCAGCCCCATGAATGCGCTAATTGAGAGCTGTGCTAAATATTCGGAAGCAACTTCATCATTGTCACTTGAAGATGATGTTGGAATGAACTTGCTTGCTAGTGTGGCTGCCGGAGAAATGTCCAGATCTGATGTGGTTTCCCCTACTGATTCTAGTGAAAGAAGTAAGCCTGTAGTTGAGGATGTCTGCACTGGTGATGAGGCAAAATCAAAGTCTTCCCCTGAAAATTACGAGGCAAGAGCGCAGAATCAGTTTCAAAATGACGCTGAACGTGATGTCAAGAAGCAGGCTGTTTTGGACAGTTTGTCATATTCCGATGATGGGTTATATTTGTCTAAGAATGCACCACCCGAGCTTTCTAGTTTTAAGAAATGTGCTCCATGTCATTCTTCTGAAGATAAACAAAATGGGGGAGGTACTCCAGGCACGGTTTCGAGATGCAATGCAGACCTTAAGTGGAAGATCAGTGAGAAGCCAAATGAAAATACAGTTGCCTCTTCTTTGGCACTTCCGATCTCTCCAGAGAAGGTAAGGCACGTTGAATCAAATGCAGGGATTCAGGAGGAAAAAGGCATTTATAGTAATGTTATTGGTGATGGTATTTCAAATAGTAGAACTAGCAGAAGTGATGTCATGATGGCCGAGGAAAAGGACGTTTCTGATCATTTGAGTGTAGATGGGTCTAAGCCAATGGTTGGACTTGCGGAACCACAGCCCTTGGATGGAGGTGACTTCACCAAGTTTGTGAATGGAGGATTAGACACGACAGCCAATTCACATCAGAAATTGACTGTTGAGATTCTCAAGTCTGAATTTGCAGCAGGAGATAATACTGAAAAGCTTCACCAAACCGAATGTAGCCAGAAATCAGTGTCAGAATCTGGTGATCCATTTCAAGCTGGAGAACTGGATCTTAAATCTGCCAATAATTGCATTAGCAAGTCTGAAAGACTGAACTCTGTTAAGGAAGAGAAAGTGCACGGAAATACAGCTATTGGAAGCCATAGTGCAGCTGCCTTATGTTTGACATCTCATGATCTCAAAAGTCATCATAAAGAGGCAAAGGTGGAAAACCAGGAGATTCCAGAGCATGTTTCACTTCCAGAGAGAAAGTACCCTTGTTCTGCGGATAATGAAGTTCAGAAAGTGGCTGAATTGACAGAATCCATGTGTACAAGCATTCAGAAAGATGAGAGTGCTTCTGGTGGTGCCGGGGCAGCTTCTTCCTCTGCTACAAGAGCAGATGATCCAGGTGCAAAGATAAAGTTTGACTTAAATGAAGGTTTTAGTGACGATGATAGGAAGTATGAGGAGTCCGACACAACCTCTGGTTCCACCAATAATCATATTAACTCGTTACCACTTTCTGTGAATTCTTTAACTGGTGCTCCTTCTACCACCATTACCGTAGCTGCTGCTGCAAAAGGCCCCTTTGTTCCGCCTGAGGACTTGTTGAGGAATAAAGTTGAACTTGGATGGAAGGGATCTGCTTCTACTAGTGCATTTCGACCTGCTGAACCTAGAAAAGTTCTTGAAATGCCGCTGGGTCCAACAAATTTGTCATGCCCTGATACTTCTTCCAGTAAACAAGACCGCATTCTTTTGGATATTGATCTGAATGTGCCAGATGAAAGAGTTCTCGAGGAAATGGCTTGTCGAGGTGCTGCTTTGGCGGTTGATTCAACAACTGAGCGGGCAAGTAATTTTTCCACGTCGAATGAGGCATCTAATTCTATGCCTATTCGCGGATCTGGTGGGCTGGATTTTGATTTGAATGCACTCGATGAAGCAAATGATACTGGGCACTGCACCACCACCGCCGCCAGTCGCAACGGAGAGCCATCTATTCTGAATTTCAAAATTGGTGGCTTACATGCTCGGAGGGATTTTGATCTCAACGACGGGCTTGTGGCTGATGATTCAAGTGCGGAACAGTTTCCCTTCAATCAACTAGTCAAAGGTGGTAGAACGTCTCAGCTGCCTTTGGCTGGACTTAGAATGAACAGTCCAGTGATGGGCAGTTACTCATCCTGGTTTCCTCAAGCGAATACTTACTCAAAAGTAGCAATCCCGACAATGTTACCTGATCGAGTGGAGCAGCCTTTCCCCGTTTTTCCACCCGGTGGGCCCCAGAGAACGTATGGCCCTACTGGTGTTAGTGTTAATCCATTTAATCCTGACATTTACCGTGGATCAGTATTATCATCATCTCCTGCAACGCCTTTTCCCTCAAGTCCTTTTCAGTTCCCTGTCTTTCCTTTTGGTCCCACTTACCCTCTCCCTTCGGCCACTTTTTCAGTCGGAAATACCTCGTATACAGATTCTGCATCTGGTCCCAGGCTCTTTGTACCTTCAGTAAATTCACAGTATTTAGGACCTGTTGGTTCTGTCACATCCCAATTTCAGAGGCCTTACGTGGTTAGCCTTCCAGAGATGAATAATAACGGTGGGCTTGAGAGCAACATAAAGTGGGTCCGACAGGGTCTGGACCTCAACACTGGCCCTGAAGCTGTGGAAAGTGCAGGCAGGGGAGACATGTGGCCTTTGTCATCAGGCCAACACTCTGGTCCCAGTTCGCAAGCTCTAGCGGAGGAGCAGGCCAGGATGTTTTCTGTTTCAGGTGGTATTTTGAAGAGGAAAGAACCCGAGGGAGGCTGGGATAATGAGGCCTTCAGACATAAGCAGTCTTCACGGAAGTAGAATGGGAGCTTTGGAGTATATATTCCCTAGGATCATGTAAGTTTTTTTTTTTTCTTTCATGCAACGCAAAGTTAATAATAGCTGATCTGATGTTGGGAGAACTGATTTATTTTTTGTATAATATTAACACTCTTTAGTGAGATACAATTTTCTATTTACACGTTGAATCCCTTTTTGTAATTAGTCAAATTTTTAAATGGAAACATGCAACTCAAAAGTCAAATAGCTAGTGAAATAGGGAGTTTATTTCATTTTTGTTGAAGGGTGAACTTCATTAGTATTTGGATCCGGTTGTCTGGGTCAAAATAACTCCACCTAGACTCAATTTATGTGGCATGAACACATAACATAAATATCCTGAAGCAATATCATATTCATTTATTTCATTAAATCCCATTAGTGCTTGTTGTGCAATTCATGCAATACAGCATGTTAGTCATTCCGCATTATCATATTTATTACTAAGAGACAAAACAGGTGTTCTTTTACCATTTCATCCCTTATCTTAAAGTATTCAATACACATGGACTCATCTTATCATTGAAAATTGGTTCCTTATTCTGATCATAGCTCTGTTATTTCCATTGTGCATATTTTCATCGTGTACTAGGTTGGAATTGGAATGTAAATTGTTCTTGTTCTAATATGAAATCGAGAGGCTGCATTATTAGAAACAGTTAACCATTCTGCAAAATTTTATGTACAAGACTTGACGATGAGTCGATGACTGATGGTATGCCTTGATTTTCTGCCCATGTTAATAGTGAGCAAAGGAGTAAGCATTCAATGTTGTCAGATGAAGTACTGATTATCAGCAGCCTCCCTTTGTACTGTAGGTACGGTTCTCTATCAAGCATAAACCAAATTTTATATGCTATAAACACTCTCAATTATATGAACTATTGTCTAGGCTTTAGTTAATTAGAAAATTAAATATTTAATGCGTGTAGACAAGAATAGCATATTCTTTTGCATTGTTTTAAGCATTTTAAGATATAAAACATTTTATTGCACGAGGAAACGATTTCAATGTGAGGAAGATGGGCGTTTTAATCATTGAAATAGAGCTTTGATATGTCAGATCTGGGGCAATGCTTGGTTTTCTGTTTCTCTGTAACATCTAATTGTGGTGAATAAGTCGTTTTATTTTATGTTTTCCGATGCATTGGGAGAATATATGGAAAACTTTCCAGTAAGCTATCCGTGAAATCCCGAGGTCATGCTTTTTGAGTTTTTTCAACAACATTGCTGATTTTTTTTAGAAAAATCGAGATCGAGACTTTCGGAAACATCATTTAAAATATTTTTAAGATGACATGGACAGCACAGATAGAAACAAACGGCCACAATAGCAAATATCTTAAATAGTGAAGAAACTTATGCAGAAGAGAATATATGAAACTATCAAGTCTCGAAGTTTTACACGGAAAGAAATGTTCCGTGATCGTACAGATTGTGTGATGTAGCATATCAAGTTACTTCTTCTGGTATGAATTGGTCGAACAATATATCACCTTTTCTCTCTCGGCCAAAACGCCAGATACAGAGAACTAACTTAAATTGCACTTTTACTATGTCATGTAACTCTATTATTACTATGCTGACCTGTCATTTTCGTCTTTCGCAGTATTTGAAGCCCCGATTAACTATCGACGTGGTGGTTATTTCTCCAGAGGATGGGATGGGTGACCTGTGAGTAGATTTTGTGTCCATATTCTCCGACCCTCACTGCTCGTGCATGTTAGGTGTATGGTGCAGGCAGCACTGCATAGCCGCTGTAGATATTTGTTGCAGAAAGCATTAAACCCCTTCCCAGTGCATAGCATTCAAAATAGTTCGATGCAACATCCCTAACTAATATTCTGAGGAGGCTGGTTTTATATCTGGTATATTTGGAGCCCTTCGGAATTTGAGCTTGCGTTTTTTTCTTCACTTTTTATTACTCTTTTACCCTTTTTTGTCTTTATTTCCCCCATACATATATTTATGTTAATGCGTAGGGTGTAATCTAATTTTGGATACTAAAAAATGCCATCTTGTTTGCTTTAGTCGTAATCGCTTTTATGGTATTATAAGTTTGTTTTACATTACCCTTCTCGTCGCAGTATCTTTGATGCACCGTCTTTTTATCGACTGTGCGTTGATTGTGAAATGAATACTATTAATTTTGGTTTTTTTCCACTATTTTTGCTCATTTTATCGATTTTTTTACAGCATCAACCGAAAATATATGTTCAAATTTGATCTCTAATGAATATTCAAAGATTAATTTCAAATTGAATATAACTAAGAAGTAAAGTCTCAAACTTCACAATCAATGAATAAAATCCTTGTATACTAATATATGTACCTGCATGCAGAATTTTAAGATAACTGAAAAACAGTAAGAAATATGATCTGCCCCACTTAACATGTTAATACACTTGCAAATCAAAAATTGCCTGGAGAGTGAGAGAGACTAAATCTACTACACTATAAACGGCATCGTTTTGTATTGTGTTGACGTATTAAACAGTGTGGAGACTTGGCAGCAGCCTTCATGCAATTTTTTTTTTTAATCTTGGCGGATAGTTCTTCCACAGAACATATTCCTGCAAATCGAAAATAGAGTGTCGAATCATTTCAAAATTGTATTTGAGGTCACACGAAACAAATAGAACAATTGATAATACGAACATACATATTCTCGTATAAATTTAGCTAAAACTCATAAACAAGAAGCATTATAACATGATGTTCAAAAACAAAAAAAAAAAAAGAAAACTAAATTGTCGTTAATAAAAATATTGTGAAGAGCGCGTGGGAACGATGTACTTACACAAAACATCCCTTGCGTGGCTTTTTCTTCTCCTTTTGCTTTTGCGGTGGCTTGATAACTACCTTGATAGCAGCGTCAAAAACGGCTTTTACATTCTGCATTTTTCATCGAAAAATTAAGTTCATGCTCCTTATATTTTGGACAAACCAATTTCGAGCATCATGGAAAAATCTCCTATGTAACGGAAAAAAAAAACACGGTCAATCTATCCGAGGATAAAAACCAACAATAACCGTGTTTCGTGTTATAACAAATATTACCATGACCAATATGGCAAATACTATCACAAAATTCTCATCTTCTTGCACGCTAATGTCGGAGTAAAAGATTCGTAAAATATATGTAAAACTATATTTCAGCATGAATGTTGTAACTATGTTGAGACTAAACAATAGTACAATAATTTGTAGCTTAGCATGTAACAATTGAGTGAATATTTCCGTAATTTCACTGATTAAATTTTTACGGGAATACAATATGCCGGTTTTCAAAGTCCGCTTTATTGCCAAACTAAAACAGATTTGGGCTCGACATACCTGTTGAGTTTTAGAGCTGCACTCGATATAGTAAGCAGCGCCGATATGCTTACGAAGCTCCTCACCCTAATTATAAATAGGATATCAATTCATCATTTTGAAGATTAAATATTAAATAATCACAGAGCAATTATAGCAGTAAATGATTGAGTAATTATCAAACCTGTGCAGTGGTAACAGGAACTAATCCTGGATGATCGGCCAAGTAGTGCTTATCCTCGCGTAGATCTATTGATACATACATACATACATAGATAGATACATTACAAGATTTTAAAAGACACGAAAAAAAAATCTTTGCAAGAGTCGATGTAAATTATCGGAAAAAATAAAATTGAAGTGTTTATGTTGACAAGCAAAAATTATCGGAAATAAAAAGATGGAATAATGTAAACGGAAAAAAAAAGGATAATGATACGGTCTATAAAATCACTAATAAATTGAGAACATACTCCTTTTATTGAGCTATTAATGAATAACACATACATGATTAATTATTTAAAGAAAATGTAGCACATAAAATGATAAAATCATTTATTAACATGGAAAGTATCATCGACAAGAAACGATCAAAAACTTTTTTGTCGCGCTTATTATTTAAATTTAGAATTGCATTGCATATGGTTAATAGTAAAACCAGAGTAAAATTCAACGCATCGACAGAACATTCTCGTTTTTCGTAGTCAAATTTTCCTTCTATATAGACACTAATATAAATCGCAACGAATTTTCTACTTCAGAAAAAAAAAAAAAAGAAAAAAAAAAAAGCAATGTACCGAGTTTGGTGCCAACAAGTACGACCGGAATCCCAGGCGCAAAATGCTGAAGTTCCGGGATCCACTGCCAAACCGAAATGTGCCCGTGTAAAAATCAAGAACAAAATAAAATAAAAAAGATACTAATTACAGGAAAAAAAAAATGTACCGAAAATACCAAAAAGGAGTCACCTTTTTAAATATGTTCTCATAGCTCGCTCGACTGACTAAAGAAAACGCTAAGACGAAGACGTCGCCTCCTCTGTAGCTCAAGGGCCTTAGTCTATTGTAATCTTCTTGACCTGTTAATATAATCAAATATAATCAGAAGTCAGATAATTAACTAATTTACTTTACTTAGTTTTCAATTTTAGAAAAATGTCATCTTTTCTGCAGAAAAGTACACATTTTCTTGATTTACAGACATGTGAAAGTGATTTTAGTAGTTACCTGCAGTGTCCCAAAGGCCTAAGTTGACAGTTATTCCTTCAACCACCACATTTGCACTGAAGTTATCAAACACTGTTGGTACATAATCCTATTTTTCACATTAAAAAGGAGAAAAAAAAATTTACAATATCAGAATTCCAAAAAAAAAAAAAAAAAAAAAACCTAGAACCTCTACCATTACAACTCAACCACAAGGTTGTCGGTTTAGACAGTGAAATATATTGTTAGACAACAAAAATTGCATTAAACTAAAAGTAAAAAAAAAAAAACCAAATCACAGAGTTCAAGAAAGATACCAAAAGCAAAAAACCCAGAAGTAGATGAAAACAAGAAACCCTTTTTTGGGCATTTACAAGAAGCAAAAGGAAGCACAGAGAAAAGCTGCAAACTTTTTCAGAAGTCTCTCACAGACATTTTATCATATACATGAACTGCATGATTTAAACTGTTTTAATTCCTCCATATCTACGAACAATTTCAATATCCAGAAATACAAGAATGATGATGACAAATAAAACGGATCAGGGCATCTTTCTTTCCCCATATATTTATGACAGAGAATAACAGAGAGAGAGAGAGAGATAGTACTAACAGTGGGGAATTTGTTACTGGTGTAGCAGATTAGCATACAGGTTTTGCCAACAGCACCATCACCCACAGTCACACACTTGATGAATCTTGAAACATTTGAAGCCATTGCTGCATAACACACACACCACAAAAACACACTATCCAAGAAAGAAAGAAATGGGAAGTCAAATATTTGATTAAACTATGATTTTATTTTATTTTGACAGAAGAAACTATTTTCTTTTTGTGCCCCTGGTGGTTGGAATGGTTGGGCATTTAGGCTTGTATCTTTTATGGGCTTTTATGAGAGAGAGAAAGAGGAGAGAGAAAGAAGAGAGAGAGAGAGAGAGAGACTAAGAATAGGTCACATGATACTCATACAAAAACCTCTTTATAGCAGAGTGGTTGAATCTTTACACTTTGTGGTTAATGGAAATCATTTCTTTAGCTTTTTACATAAAGATCGAAACTTTTTTATTTTTATTTTCATCCTTCAATTTTGCATTGATTCTATATTTGGTCTCTCGTGTTTCAAAAATTCAACACTTTTAGTCATTTTCATCAATTTTCTTTAAAATTAATGGAATCAAACGTGTGTCCATCACTATTGTAACTGACGGGTTGGGTAAATTGACGAAAATGACAAAAAATACCAAATTATTGAAACATGAGTGACCAAATGTGTTTTTTTTCATAAAATTGGGGGACTAAATGTGAAATCATTGCAAACTTGAGGCGTGAAAAATGTAAATTTCACAGCATTTAATATTCCCATAATTATCTCTAAGTTTTGATGAATTTATGTCTTTATGAACCACCTCTATTTAATTATATGATCTTGGATTTCTGTTAGGCGCGTGGGGGCGGGCTGATCTTAGTTGATATTTCTTGATTGCTTTTCTATTTTAATTATAGATGGAGATTAAATAGAGAATTTGAAATGCTAGATTTAAAATTTATGATTTTTTTTGCAATTTTTTATTGATAATCTCACATTTATATTGTGAAAAGATTTGGTATTAGTGGAAATCTGATTTATTTTTGTGAAATTTAGAGAATTGGGTTTGAATTTTATTCATCACATTAAAGTAAAAATCTTAGGTGGAATTTTGACAAATTTTTTTTTTTTTCGAAGAAAACGTAGAGCTTTTATTTAGGCAGAAGTCAAACCATGCGGAAGGGAAAAACCTTCTCTACAAACCGAATCAAGTTTAGTGGCAATGTCATGTGCCAATTGGTTCCCACTTCGCGCTTGATAAATTGAAAATTACAATGAATAAAACTCTTACCAATCGATAAAACTTCTCCTAGGAAAGCACCAAACGACGACAAAGAATAAATACAGTAGAAGCCGGATAAATTAATAACATCGTTTAAAGTATAATTTATCTTGGTCCCAACTTTGTGAAAAATATATTAAATTATTAATTTGATAATTTAATATTTTGTTAAATTAATATAATTTTACTAGTTCCAACTGTATTAATTTATAGATGTTTAACAACATGTGACTTGATAGACATAATAAAAATGTATTTGAAGCTCTAATTAAAATGCGTAAATAGTTTAATTAACCTTATGAATGATATTGAGACCAACTCCAACCCCTATCATTACACAATTATATAAAGAATATTACCCAATGAGAATTTTACAATCATAAATCTCAAGCATAAGTAAATAATATTATGATAGACAACTGAATAGTAGGATATCGGCTGATAAAGTTATGCGTTAAATGAGTTACATTTTAAATTTTAGATAACTCGTAATATTATAATTGTGACAGTGTTTGTTGGTTCATGCATATATTTCTCACCCGACTTCCAATCTTGGTGATTCAAGTTGGATTAGAAAGCTAACTCACTGAACTATAAACTACTTGTTTTAAGTTTTGTCAAATTCAGCGCTCAAAATAGTGAAAACCACATTTAAAATTGAAACGATATTATTTAAACTGAAACGACATGTATGACGTTGTTATCTTTTTATAATAGCATATTCTTGGAAATCAATTATATATTAAATAATAAATCAAGAAATCAAAATAAATAAATCAATCAATCTATCAGCCAGATGAAATTGAATCATTGATATTAATTATTATTCCTAGTCCCAATCCCAATGGCCAGCCCATAACAATGTTTGGATTATTCTCCTATATATTATATATATATTCTCAAAAACAAAGAGCCCCACTTGTAAAAAAAAAATAAAAAAAAAAAACAAGAAATTGTTTGTTTGCACATTATCATGTAAATATCCACGTGGATTATCCAAGATACATCACAATCCCACAGTTTAATTTTTTCGGTGGGAGTACATATTTTTGGCTGGTTATTGCCTGCAGCAAAGGACCACCGCAGCTGTATAGGATTACCAAAAAGAATATCTTTTTTCTATAACAACCTTATGACAACAACTACTGATTAGATTCATTGAATATATGAAAAGAAAAACACATTCACACACACACGAACACACTAGTGATTATAAATAAGTTGAAATAATTTGAGGATTATATGGGAAAAACTGTGGTTTTCGTCTTTCAAGTTTGCACTGATTTCGTATTCCGTACGCATGTTTATAGAAAATATATTTGGTCCCTCGTGTTTGATCAGTACTTTAACACTTTTGGTATATTTCGTTAATTTACCGTTACTCCGTCAGTTAAGGCAGTGATGAGTACATGCTTGTGAAAATGACTAAAAGTATTGATTTTTTTAAATATGAGGGATCAAATGTGTTTTTTGTGAATGCATGTGAACAAATGTGAAATTAGTGAAAACTTGAGGGATGACAACTGTATTTTTCCTGAATTATATATGGAGACTATTTATTAGGTTTCAACTTAAGTTAATTTTGAAATTGTAGTATAAGTTTCAACTTACTTTGTAGAATATCTTAAATATTCTAATAAAATTAATTTAGATAAAATAATATGGTCACAATTGTGAAACACTTTGTTTCATAAATTATAAAAGTGTTTTTAAATTAGATACGTTGTTGCAAATATGCTTTTGAAATTATAATTAAAGCAACTTACATTAAGAGGAATAAATCCAAAAATTGAATTTGTTAATAGTTATAAAAAAATAGATTATGAGAAAGAATGGGAAAATAAAAACTCATAAACGAGAACAAAATCGATTGTTACGAGGGAAAATAACAGTTTTCATCCTTCAAATTTGCACTGATTTTTACATTTGGTTTTTATGTTAAAAAAAACATTTGATCTCTCATATTTCAATAATTTAGCAGTTTTAGTCATTTATGTCAATTTATTGTTATTCCGTCAGTTATCGTTAATTGTAATAAAAATGACCAAAATTGTAGAAGTTTTGATATATGAGGAACCAAATATATTTTTTATAAACATAGAGGATCAAATGTGAAATCGGTGCAAACTTAAATGGTTAAAACTGTATTTTCTCCACCGTTGTGATTTTGTCGAAATACTTCCTAATATTATAATCATTTTCGAGCTCAATAAATTGATTTACAAGTTATGTTTCTAAAATAAATTAAAAGAGACAGAAAGAAAGCTCTAGAGTAATACAAATGTGAAAGTATCAAGTTCATGATTAAAGACTTTGTGTGGGTTGGTATATATATGGCTTAAGTAAAGATTAAGCAACTTCAATAAAATAATTTAAAGCAATCAAAGGACTTTATTGTTAGATTACACATTGATTTCAAATATAATATGAATTTATTATATCTTTTTACCGTCTTGGAGATATTATTTAAAAATAAAATATCTTCTAGTATTTATTTAAGCTTATATTATATTTATATTTTATTCTAGATATTATATTCTTAATGTTTTTTGCAGAAACAACCTTAATTATTACATTTTCAACTAAAATAGACCCATCAATAAATTAAATAGGGTCATATTCTTTTTTATTTGTTTCTTACCCAAATGGGTCCAACTAAACCTAAAAAAAAATCTAAATTTGAAGCCCATCCAATAGTTTAAAGTCTAATTCGGCCTTCAATACTAAAAGCCCAATTCATTTATTTGGAGTTTTTATTTATGTATTAATATCCATTATTTATTTTTATATATTATGTTGTCAAACTAGTACTAATTATGGCCTCATCAAATACCATTAGTTTTTAGTACATAAGGATCTCGATAAATAAATATTCGATAAATTAATAAGCTCGTCTAAATAATATATTTTCTCAGTCCCGACTCGAAGGCAACGTGTTAAAAAATATTTTGTTAAATTAATATTTCGCTAATTAATAGAATTTGGTTGGTCCCGACTATATTAATTTATAGAGGTTTAACTGTAGGTGAAGAATTATGTATTGTACTCGAAGGTTAACTACTTAAAAATTAGAATATACTTATAAAAAATAATAAATAAAATAAAAATTACGGGCACCCCATGTTCGAGTAAATTACAAATTACCACCACTCCCCTCAATTGTCTTACACGTCTACTCTTAGAGCAACTCTAATGGTAAAACATTAAAATGGATCATCAAATATTAATTTGATGCTCGTATTATTATTTTGATACTTATTTACTCCAACCACAAGCATTAACTGGATCATCAAATTTTAAATACAAGTATAGATATATTTAAAATTGACATATGTCAATTCATGATTGATTTTCTAGTTAGTTAATGTTTTGATACCTTTTTTTCCAGTATACATTTTTACATCTCCGGAAGTTAAATATCAAAATAACTACCAATTTAATTCCTACACTGGAGATGCAAATTTAAATTTTGGAACATTAAAATAGAAGTTATATCATTTAATTTCCCATTTTATTCCTCTATTAGAGTTGCTCTCATGGTGCCAAATTTACCTACTGAATGTGAAGTTTTTCGTAAGAAAATACATAATTGATGGACAATTGTAATTACCTAAACAAAAAAGGGTTTTTACGTAATTTGATACCTCAATCCTCATAGAGGTGGCCGTAATTTGCCCTAAATAAAAGGACGTGGAGATAGACACGGCCATGGGCCGGTTTTGGGTCCGGAACCGGCCCGTTGACGACCCGGCCCAACCCGTTGACCGGTGAACCGGCCCGGAACCCGTGAACCAGCCCGTCGTCCCCGGGACGGGCCCGGTTCTATGAAATGGTGAATCGTGAACCGCCGGGCCGGCCCGGCGGTTCACCCGAATTTAAAAAAAAAAAAATTCAAAAAAATTCAAAAAAAAAAAGCAAATAACGGCTAGTGAATCGGCCCGAACCGGCCAGGGTGAACCAATTTTTCCTATAAATACCCTCACACCCCAATTTTTCCTATAATTTACTTATTCATCAAATATTTAAAAAAAAAAAAAAAACAAATTTTCCGGGCCAACCCGGAACCTGCCCGGATAGGCCCAGAACCGGCGGGCCGACCCGTGCATATTACGGGCCGGTTCCGGTTCCGGAAAAAGTGAACCGTGAACCGGCCCGAACCGGCCCGTGGCCGTGTCTACGTGGAGAGCTAATTAAAATCCACTTTGAAATTTTACATTTTGATTTTCTCTTTATCAGCAGCAGTCTACTTTAAGATTAGTTTTTAATTTCATTTAATTTAAAGGTCTTATATGCAAAGTTTTAATTTTCATTCAAGGCTTATAAGTTTATACTTTTTAGTTTTTACTGTTTTCCTCCCCAAAAATCAAAACCCCGAGCTCCCGGGGCATTTCCATACAACAACAATGTGCAACCACACCAAATTGAAGCGGAAGCGCGGCCGCCCCGCCGCAACTCCGCCGGAGACCACCGTCCTCGACAGCAGCAACGCCGCCAACTCCCAAACAACAACAGAAAGCGACGTGGAGCTCGTCAACTCCAATCCTCCGCCATCTTCCTCCCAACACCGCCGCGGCCGCTCACGGAATAACCCTACACCTGAAATCCCAGCCGCCAGAGTTTCGCCCATTTCCGTTCATCCCGGCTCTAACGGATCCGTGTCTCCGCTGGTTGAATCGGATTGCGATGTGGCTAGGGTTGTTCCCTCCATGGACTCGGTGGTGAAGGTTTTCTGTGTTCACACTGAGCCGAATTTCTCTTTGCCTTGGCAGAGGAAACGCCAGTATAGTTCGAGTAGCAGTGGGTTTGTGATTAAGGGGAGGAGGGTTCTGACGAACGCCCATTCGGTCGAGCATTATACGCAGGTTAAGTTGAAGAAGAGAGGCTCTGATACTAAGTACCTTGCAACTGTCCTTGCCATTGGAACCGAATGCGACATTGGTGAGAATGCTCTCAATTTTGTTGATTCGTTTATTTTCGTTTTGTTGCGGAACGAATGCTGGTACATAGGAACTCGTGTAGGAATGAACGACATGTGAGCGGTTATTGAACTAGTATTAATCTAATTAGTTCAATTGCTTACTAGTTTTGATTTTTCAGATATTGGAATTTCGTAATTGGTTTTCGTTTTTTGAGCAAAATGTTCTGTTTGGTATGCATTATCAGTGTTGTAAACGAACAAGTGGATATGTGTGTGTTACATTTATTTCATGAATTGTCTAATTTTTCATTTCATTGTAGTTACTACCGGATTTTATTTCTTTTCATTGGTTTGAAATGATTCGTCAATTTGTTGAACAGAGAATTGGGTAATTTTCTTTACTAATTTATTTGGTTCTATAGCCGTTTAGCTGGCGTAGGTAGAGTTTAAGTATGACATGTGCTAAGTCTATATCAATGTATTTATTAGTTGCTCATAAAACAACTTAAGAAGAGCTAAAGAAGAAATGTACTAGTCTAATAACAATTTGGAACTTTGCTTGTCCATTGATAAAATTTATACATATTGAAAAGCGGAAAATATGTCTCGGTTTATTACTTTTCTTTGTGTGGTTACAATGAAGAACCGATAAAGTTATTTATAATATTTTGTCAATCTGTATCTCGTAAACAACAATGTAAATATTTTTACTGCATAGTTTTAATTGCTAATTTCACGATTAAAGTGATTGATAGTGTCCATGAAAGGTGATACTATGCCTTTTCTCCTAATAAACTGATATATTTACTTATAAGTTCGATTCGATCACTGTTTAACTACTTAACGTAATCAGTATTCGTTCCTCCCCGTGTATTACATGGATTTTATGGAGTGATATATTGGAAATGTTGTGAAATGTTGCTGTGATATCTTCGGTTTGTTAGTTGATATATTATGCGGAAATTATATATTGTTATTTAGAAGCTGTAATACCACTTCTATCTCAATTTTATCAGACTTTTGATGTCTATCTTCAGACTAATTCATCAATGGAAGTTCTGACGTGATAAGTGGGATATTAGTACAAGGTGAGTTAATGAAGATAAGAGCGTTAAAGATGTTGAGTATAGACCTAAGTTCTATCTGGTCCTAAAAAAGTGTCTTCGTTGAAAGTAAATAAAAATAGATGCTGGTGGTATCAAATGAATATTTAATAACAATTTTTTATCCTGCCCCTTACAAATGGTTGACATGCTCTGCAGTTATACGTATACATCAAAGAAGAAAAGGCTGATTTTGGTTTATATGTTGTTGCAGCTCTATTAACAGTAGATGACGATGAGTTTTGGAAAGGGGTTTCTCCTGTAGAATTTGGCGATTTACCTGCTCTTCAAGATGCTGTGACAGTTGTGGGTTATCCAATCGGGGGTGACACAATCTCTGTTACAAGTGGTGTTGTGTCACGAATAGAGATTCTCTCATATGTTCATGGATCCACTGAACTTTTGGGGTTGCAGGTAAATTTTCAATTAAAAAAAATTCATTTATCTTTAGCTTCTAGATTTAAATGTGTTGAGAAAAATGATTGATTTTTACAGATAGATGCTGCCATAAATTCTGGAAATTCTGGGGGACCTGCTTTCGATGACAAGGGAATTTGTGTTGGTATTGCATTTCAATCACTCAAACACGAGGATGCGGAGAATATCGGTTACGTTATACCAACACCAGTCATCAGACACTTCATCCAAGATTATGAGAAGAATGGGAAATATACTGGTACGAGTTATGATATATCAGAGCTACCTTTTTCTCTTCTCGTCTTTTTCCGTTGTATTTTGGCTGGATAAGTGAGGGAGGGGAGGTGTGAGGAAATATTCACGTGTTAATAAAATTCAAAGAATTAGCAATATTTTCTAGCTGCAAATATAATGATATATATGTATATATTTTATGACTATCACATTGGAATGTGTTGTGCCAGATACATTTCCAAATGCCCTCTTTAAAAAAAAAGTTTTTCCAACTTAATGGAAGCCAGCTCAGTTGTACATTGAAGGGTTTGTCGGATGTCTTGCAGGATTCCCTCTTTTTTGGGGAGAGAGGGCGAGAGAGAGGAAAACTCCGATTGGGGGTCGCAAAGGGGGAAAAAACTCCCCAAAAAAGGGTTTTTTTTAAGGAAAAATGGCCCCACTTCCCCCCCTTTTAGGGTTTTGACACCCCCCGCCACCCCCCCCCCACTTTAAGGGGTTTGGATTTTCAAGGGAGGAAACGGGTTAGTTGAACTTTTATTTTCCCCCCCCCCCCCCCCCCCCCGCCCCCTCCTCTTTCTCTTTCTCTTTCTCTCTCTCTCTTTCTCATGTCAATTATTTTGGTTACATGCAGTCCCATTTAGGCATGGAGAGCGGATAGGCTTCAGCTACCTCGTGTCGCAAAAATATACAGGCGATAGCGCTGAAATGAAAGTGCTTCGTAACTCAAAGAGTCTAAAGTTAAAAATTCTACTTGGTACCCATAGTCGTCTCGTTCCTGCTCACAATGAGGGCAGACCACCCTCGTACTATATTGTTGCTGGATTAGTTTTTACGACAGTTTCCGTTCCCTATCTCCGATCTGAGGTGAGTGTTTTTTGCCCTAATATTTTTAACACCTTCAAATTTACTTTCTTATCCCTGCATATGAACTATAGGCTAAAGCATTGGTTTCTGATTCAACAATCTTCATCTAAACTTTTCACTGAAGATAATGACACCATACAAAAATTAATCAAATTAAATAAATAAAAAAGAATTCAAAGAAACCAAATATGTTTGACCAATCATCAGTCTGATTAATATCTTTAGTTCTCATACCTTTCATTTTGTGTCTCCAGTATGGGAAGGATTACGGGTTCGAAGCTCCGGTGAAATTGTTGGACAAACTTTTATACGAAATGCCACAATCAGTAGACGAACAAATTGTCGTGGTTTCTCAGGTTTTTCCTCACATCAAAATAATGATTTAAGTTATTTTCTTGAAGGCGATTGTTCGATTTTGTGGTTACCTTCTTTTTCCTTGTGCAAATTTTCTAGGTGCTTGTTGCCGAAATCAACATTGGATACGAAGAAATCGCCAACACTCAGGTATCGTTTAGTTCCTAACATAAGATTAGCGAAGACCTAATCATTTAATTAATCATTGCTTATCTTAACCAAGGCCTCCGTGAAATTGTTTCATAAAATACTATGATTTCTTCTCCGGCTGACTTTTCATCGTCTCTCTTTTATTTGGGTGCAATTAGGTTCTTGCATTTAATGGTCAGCCCGTGAAGAACCTGAAGAGCTTGGCTAGTATGGTAGAGAGCTGCAACGATGAATATTTGAAATTCGATTTGGAATTCCAGCAGGTTTGCTTTCTGAGTCGTTTTCATTTTGCTTTTAGCAAATTTTGTATGTTCTTTTCACAGTTTATTTAAGTCTCCATTCTTTCTTCCGAAACACAATACGAATTGAAAAAAAAAAAACCGAAGCAAACATAGTTGGTTACTAAAAAAACAGAGGATAAATTTGGGTGCAGATTTTGGTTCTGCAGACAAAGGCAGCAAAAGAGGCAACCTTGGACATTCTTGCTACTCACTGTATACCGTCAGCCATGTCTGACGATCTCAAGACATGAACGGGTGCCACAGTATTGTATCTCCAAATAAAACGGTTTTTTTTTTTTTTTTTTTTTTTTTTTTTTTTTTTATTTTTCTTAAATTTGTAAGCCTCCTCTCGAACTATATATGTAGGCCATTTTGTTTCTCATATTAATTTTACGAGTAAAATTTGAGGTTGAGAAAATTACGTAGCTTTGATAACATTTTATGGTAATTATTACCATTTACCGGGAAGGTAATGAATTTTCGGAATCTACTTCATGTACTATTCTGGTTTGTCGTTTATGTAGTAGATCGAGAAGCTAAGAGTAGCAAGTAAACGAGAAACAATTTAATTTACATTTTGAAAATTATTATCTTGCATTTCATTTCAACAATAAGGTTTTACTACTCAATAAGTCTAATGTTCTGTAGTGTGAAGTGTGAAGGATTTTCTCCTCATTAAGTGACACGCAGTTAGTATAAACCACAAGGGAGCTATGTGCTGATATTACGAGCGAAAGGGGTCAAAGATTGTCTTAATTACTTATTGTTTTCTTTTTATTTTTCTATTTAAAAAACAAATGTTGATTGACATCTTAGATCATTAGCCTGACTGAGGCTTCACGT